GCCTGTGGCAGAATGAATAAGTTAATATGTAGTCATTGTGTGAGCTGGATATACTCACATGGCGTTCTGATATCCTACATCAATGGGCTATTGCAAGTTAATGACCAGCTCTGTGAAGGTCCATTTGCACGAAATATGGGCGGTGTAAAAACGAGTGAGGAAAGCAGGTGCTCCAGCTCATAACTGAGCCGTGTGATGGTAAGAATCTCATTTGGTCTTGCAGCATTAGAAAAACCGACTCAACAGAAAACTAGAGATGGGTACCTTTGACATTTGAATCGATTCGGTAGTGATTCCCGGTACCTAGGAATCAATACCGGTACTTAACGGTACCAATATTCGATACTTTTGAGTGTTTAATATTTTAATTCTCTTTTATAATTAAATATATATTTTTCTCAATATATAACCATATTTGATAAATATCACGATAAATAACATACAACTGTTTGTATTTTAACATCGTCCTTGTAGTTTTATAAGTTGATAATTAAACTGAAGCAAACATCTTTACTATGAACTAAATTTACTGTGTATCTTCATTCCTTTTGCTGTCCTTTTTCATTTGATTTTTCCTACTGGGAAGCTAGAATTTCCAAGGAAAAAGTGAACGCACCATTAGCTGATAACAATGGTGGCAATGGAAGCTAATTTATCAAGCTAACGATATCATAAAGTTTATTTAGCTGCTGGAGCAGATTAAAACGATGATGCCTCACACTTAGATCATTGTTGCTAGTTTCATCTTCTCCCAATCACCCGTCGCATTTAGTAAAGTGAAGCCAAACTTTAGAGCACGTTCATGTTCCTCTAGTCGGAAATTCGGAGTTCCGAGGCGAATGCACCATTAGTGGAACGGAAGCTAACATATCAAGCTAACGTTATCTTAAACATTTTATTTACCTGACCTGAGGGTGTGTTCCAACTATAGGGGGATCACACTCCTCAGCCTCCCTGGAAAGGTCTACGCCAAGGTACTGGAGAGGAGGGTCCGATCGATAGTTGAATCTCAGATAGAGGAGGAGCAATGTGGTTTTCGTCCTGGCCGTGGAACTGTGGACCAGCTCTATACCCTTGCAAGGGTGATGGAGGGGGCATGGGAGTTTGCCCAACCAATCCACATGTGCTTTGTGGATTTGGAGAAGGCTTATGACCGTGTCCCCAGGGGCACCCTGTGGGGGACGCTCCAGGAGTATGGGGTGGGTGGCTTTCTGTTAAGGGCCATTCAGTCCCTTTACCAGAGGAGCGTGAGTTTGGTCCGCATAGCCGGTAGTAAGTCGGACCTGTTCCCAGTGAGGGTTGGACTCCGCCAGGGCTGCCCTTTGTCACCGGTTCTGTTCATCACTTTTATGGTCAGAATTTCTAGACGCAGCCGTGGTGTGGAGTGTGTCGAGTTTGGTGGCAGGAGAATCTCGTCTCTGCTTTTTGCGGATGATGTGGTCCTCCTAGCTTCATCCAGCTCTGACCTTCAGCTCTTGCTGGGTAGGTTCGCGGCCGAATGTGAAGCGGCTGGGATGAGGATCAGCACCTCCAAATCTGAGACCATGGTTCTCGACCGGAAAAGGGTGGCTTGCCACCTCCGGGTCGGGGGAGAGGTCCTACCTCAAGTGGAGGAGTTTAAGTATCTCGGGGTCTTGTTCACGATTGAGGGTAGGAGGGATCGGGAGATCGACAGGCGGATTGGTTCGGCGTCTGCAGTGATGCGGACGCTGAGCCGATCTGTCGTGGGGAAGAGGGAGCTGAGCCAGAAAGCCAGGCTCTCGATTTACCGGTCGATCTACGTCCCAATCCTCACCTATGGTCATGAGCTTTGGGTAATGACCGAAAGAACGAGATCGCGGATACAAGCGGCCGAAATGAGTTTCCTCCGTAGGGTGGCCGGGCTCAGCCTTAGAGATAGGGTGAGGAGCTCGGACATTCGGGAGGGAATCGAAGTAGAACCGCTGCTCCTCCGGATCGAAAGGAGCCAGTTGAGGTGGTTTGGGCATCTGGTCAGGATGCCTCCTGGACGCCTCCCCGGGGAGGTGTTTCGGGCATGTCCTGCCGGCAGAAGGCCCCCGGGTCGACCCAGGACACGTTGGAGAGGTTACATCTCCAATCTGGTCCGGGAACGCCTTGGGGTCCTGCCGGAGGAGCTGGTGGACAAGGCCGGGGAGAGGACGGCCTGGAGCTCCCTAATTGGGATGCTGCCCCCGCGACCCGGACCCGGATAAGCGGAGGAAGACGAAGACGAAGACGATTTTATTTACCTACCGGAGCAGATTAGGATGAGGATGTCTCACTTAGATTGTTGTCGCTGGTTTCATCATCAACCAGTTACCCATCACATTTAGTGAAGTGGACCCAAGCTTTAGCGTGCGTTCTTTCTACCATGCTGCTCCGTTTACAACTGGCTCGCAGTGACCGACGACATAACGCTCTTGCACATGGGCAGCTGTCTAGGCAAGTTCTCGTTATGGAGGCCGGGTCCCGAAACAAGGCACCATTTAAAATGAAGTGAATCGGTGCTCAGTTGGTACTATGGAATTCGGTCGGTACCTTAAAAAGTACCGAATTTGGTACCCATCGCTACAGAAAACACAATTCTTAAATTGTGAAGAATCTGGACCCATCCATTACGTACTGTATATGCGGGGTCCCCCGATATAAAAAGATGGGGGGGTAATTTTGGTTGCTAACATCACATATTTAGTGAATGCTTAAGCTTTAAACATTATCAGTGCAAAATGGCAACTGCTTCATTTTAAGTTGGTAATAGAAAACAATGTCATGATTAATTTTGCTCCAGCAGCAGCTTAATGATATTCTCCCTGAGATAATCCTGACTAATGCTGTGATGCCTTTAGCATCAGATTATTATTAATTTCATGATGGGAAAACGTTTGATTAATAAATAGTACAGGTGAATTATTGATGAAAGTTAAAATGCTTTAGGTTTTGAAAACGTATCAAAAAGAGACGTTGCTGTTATAACAACCATTGTTACATTGTCTGTGCAAAACGCGACAGAGTGAGCATTGTCAACTCAGATCTATCACTGACGTAGTTTTCGTTTTCTTCTGCTCCCGGTGTTTACATTTGGGCATGAACAGGACAACGGCTCACAAACACGGTAATCTTGCTTTATATGTTCGTGCCTTGGAGAACCTTTGTCACTATCAATGTGCTTAGGGAATTTTTGGGCGTGTGTTAAAGTTAGAATATATAATGTAATGCTAAGCTAGGCTAATAGCTAAGCATGACACTAAGATTCAATTTGAGACCATGATCTTGAGTCGGAAAAGGGTAGAATACCTTCTACTGGTCAGGGATGAGGTCCTGCCCCAAGTGGAGGAGTTTAAGTATCTCGGAGTCTTGTTCACGAGTGAGGGGAAGATGGAGCATTAGATCGACAAGCAGGTTGGTGCTGCGCCTGCAGTAATGAGGGTATTGTATAGATTTGTCGTGGTGAAGAGAGAGCTGAGCCAGAAGGCAAAGCTCTCGATTTACCGGCCTATCTACGTTCCTAACCTCATCTATGGTCACGAACTTTGGGCAGTGTCCAAAAGAACAAGATTGCGGATGCAAGCGGCCAGAATTAGTTTTCTCTGCAGGGCTCTTCCTTAGATAGGCTGAGAAGCTCAGTCATCTGGGAGGGGCTCGGAGTAGACCCGCTGCTCTTCCACATCGAGAGGAGTCAGTTGAGGTCGCTCTGCATCTGGTTAGGATGTCTCTCAGACGTCTACCTGGTGAAGTTTTACGGGCACATCCAATGGGAAGAAAATCTTAAGGAAGACCCAAGACATGCTGGGGGGACTCAGGCTGGTCAGGGAATGCCTTAGGATTCCCCCGGAGAAGCTGGTCCAAGTGGCTGGGGAGGGAAGTCCGGGCCTTCCGGCTTGGGCTACTGCCCCCGCGACCCAACCCCAGATAACCGGCCAAAAACGGATGAATGGATGGATGGATGGATATTGAAGTTATGGTGCTAAAAAAAAAAAGATCTTCATTTACAAAAAAAAAAAAAAAAAGCATTGGGTGAAGATGCTGGTACTTGCTTTAGTTGTTTTGCTAGCTGGCTAGCTAAACGTCTAAGGACAGCAAATCCTTTATTCAGGGAAGATTCCTAATTATTCACAAGTTGTGGCAAATTAAACTAAAATATCTGAAAAACTAAACCCCAGATTTGTTTTACTTTGTATTTTGAGACAGAGGAGATGAAGCCGAAGCGTTTGATGTATAATATGTGTATGTTATGTAAAAGTTGGGTCAATAAAGGAGTAAAAACAGACACCAATATTTTCCGATATTACATTTTGAGGCCAATATCGGCCAATAATATCGATAGACCAATTATATCGGACAACTCTATTTTCCCTTGTGTGTGTCTCATTCTTCTTTTACATCAGTTATGTGTACATTTTTTTTATTTATTCTAGACTTCATTTTTATACAAATGATCCCACTCTGAGGTATGCAGGGACCCTGCATGCCTCGCCAACGCATTCTCACACCCAAAGCATCCAAAAACTGATGATGGGTGATCAAGCGTTTGGTTGCTCCTGACGCGTCAGGAGCCGATGTGCGGTGCCAGAGCTTTGTTTTCCGACGCCTGTGGTAAAACGCACATTTCACCAACTTTAACCTCTAACCTCTTGCTGTTTAACGTTCCCCTTGCCCCCATTCTAACCATAACCCTGTTGTTCATTCTAAACTTCCCGTTAACCATGTTTGAGAGGAATGACACAACAAGGAACAAAGTTTTGCATGCTCTAGTGGGTTAAGGTTAGGATGGGGGTGGGGGGAAGATTAAATAACAAGAGGGTAAAGGTCAGAATGAAGTGAAATCTCTGTTTTTCCACGGCAGTTGGAAACCAACGCGTTGGGAGTCCCAATGTGTCGAAAACTAACGCTGAGTCATCCATCGTCAGTTTTCGATGCTTTGGGTGTAAGAATGTGTTGGCCTCGCTGTCTCAGACTCTTATAACATGACATGAATGACAGCCATTAGCCATCACAAAACATTTGGAAACAGCATTTTCTTTTTATTTCTGGGAATTGTTTGAAATCAAGGAAGCAAAAGACTATAATTAACTGGTTAAAACACACAAAAAAATAAAAATAAAATCAAAGGGTAAAAATACACACTGATTGATTTACATTAAAATGAATGAACACTAATAAATTTAACAATAAATAATGACATTAAAAAAAGGGACAAACTACCAGAACATAATGTCGTATAGATGAGACATGGATGAACTGTACAAAAACAGACAGAACAGAAAAGATGCTGACATCACAGAAAATTTAAAAAGCAGAAGAAAAACAGTTGTATGTAAGTAAGGTGCCAGCACAGGTCTCCAAATCCACCATAATCCATCTTTATTCATCTTATACTTTTTTTTTTATCCCCAATAAAAAAATAAACAAAAAGTTACTTCAAAGGAGACAGGTCCCTCACACAACATCTGTGGGAGGTGTTTCCTGGTTGGCTAGCTGCTTTAGATGGTCAATTAGTCATGCAACTGAAGAGAAACACCATCCAGAGAGACTAGACTTCTTATCTACCAAGACTAACTCCCTGTGCACATCATTCCTTCACTCCAGGACAAGGGGGAGAAGCTTTTTGTGTCATGTTGCTACAGCAAAAAATACCAAGTCAGATCTTCTGTCCGCACATGAAAATGATATAAAATGAAGAGAAACTTGAGTTTTGTGTACAATATCAACCCCCCAAAGCACAACGGTTAGATGTAATAAAGCATGTAAACTTTTTTTTTTTCATTCTTGTCCCAAAAAATGATACTTAGCTGTAAGAATACGCTGCCGTAGATTTTTTAAACTTTTTCTTTCTAGCCAAAATTTTTGTTGACCCATTTTTACCACAACATGTAAGTAAATGTAGAAACAACTGGACACAAACTGAAATGAAGGGGAAGGAAAACACTGCCAAGGTTTTGAAATGCTTGATTCTGAAAACCCAAAGAATAAAAAAAGCACAATGCATGATCCTTTTCTTTTTTGCTGGGATGATTTGCTCTTGCACGATTGAGCACCATTTTGAATTTGCAATAACAGAGATCCAATCTTTGACACAAAAAGGGAGCAGAATATTGTTCAGATGAGTGTTCTACTCCTGCTGAGCAGCCGCTGTCTAGTCAACCCTGACTGTTGACTACATTCTTAAAAAAACAGATTTAAAGTCAACAAATTAAATAAATAAATTAAAAAAGTCAAACAAGGTATGGAAATACAAAAGACAGCTCCTAGCACATACTTTACCTTTTGTCACGTCCATGAAAGCTACATTTAATGAACCATTTGAATAGCAAAATCAGGTTTTGACTTCCTACTTTTCCTGACAATCGTGGTTTCTTTGAGGTGTCTCCCTTAAACAGATGCCGGCACCACGTCACATACACCTCACATGCATGCTCAGAATGACCAGAAATGACAGTGATCATATTTTACAGGGTTACAATGGACAAGGTCATCAGAACTCCAAGGATTACACACCTCTTCACAGTCACTTGAGGGTCATGTGGGTGTTGAGTGATAATTCACGCTGCCAAATGTCTCTAGCAGGGACTCCTTAAAAAAGTCCCCATGAAGTTTTACTGCATTGTCACTTTGTAATGCTTACAATAGTAAGTGTGCTTCCATAAGCCAAAGGTTCTTTTGCAAATGATTCATTAGCTCCGTGAGTCTTTGTTTTCTCACAAGATTTAGTTCTTTGTAAATCACAGTTGCCAATATGGTACTGTCAAAATGTTCATAACTTTGTTCCAAAGAGTTTATTTATATGTTGTGAAATGACTGATTTCTATACATAATATTCCTTGTCCTTGTCTTTTGGTCTCTTGTTACTGGCGCTGCCTTTGGCGCTGCCACTGGGTGTTTTATCCTTCACCACCGCACCATTGGTTTGTGCTGAATTGCTGATGTAGTTGCGTGTTTCGTCCACCTGGTAGGAACCCTCGTCTCTATTCCTGTACTTGTACATGGCATAGAGGAGGATGAGGATGCAGAGGGCTGCAGCTGAAACAATGCCCAGAACCATGCCCGTGGTACTACTCGATTCCCGGATCACCTCCGATACCCCCGGCGGTACTCGCCTCACCACACCAGGGACTGTGGGCAAGGCGGCAGGTACTGTGCGAAGCATGGGCGAGGTGATGAAGGGACCACTTGGCTTGGTGCCGTCCACATCAAAGGATGTGGGCAGGGGCAGCAGGACTATGTCCGGCTGCGGGGGTTTTACCTCGCGATTGTCCATTTTCCCTGCGGGAAGCTTGGGCGGTGTGTCCGAGGGGGCCGCCACTGGTGGCATGGCCCGGATGTCAGGCAGAGGTGAGGTGGATGTAGTCCTACCTGCCTCTGAGGCTTTGCTAGGCCTTAAGTCCTTGGCCTCCCACTTGGGTGCGAGAGCTTTGTAGCCACCTTCATAGGCCGATGTAGTCAAGGTCTTATCTGTTACCAGGGAGAAGGTGGTGTAAAAATCTTCATCGTCAGTTGGGGGCAGGCTAGAGTCGAAAGCTTCGCCAGAGCCAAACCCCGAAATCACCATGCCATCATCACCATCATCATCATCATCATCATCATTATCACCATCATCACCACCATCACAATCATCGCTGCCTCGGTCCGGCAAGCAAGGTACCCCCGCCTCAGTGGCCATGGCCAAGGACTCTTTGGTGGTGTCGATAATGGTGAGGACAGGGCGGAGGGTTGGGGGGAAGGGGATGAAGGGTGAACGGCTGGATACAGAAGGGATGTCTATGGGGTCCTCGACTAGAATGGGGATGACTAGTTCCCCTCCTGCAAAGTGAAACACACAGAAGCAAACGTCAGGGAACAGATAGTAAGGAAGTAAGCGAGAAGCAGATGACCACCGAAAGAATCGGTGAACAAAGAACATAAGAAGCAAAGCTCAACTCAAGGAGGAAATGAACAGAGAATAAAAAGAAAGAACAGAAAGGTACTGTACCAGTGCAAAAACAATAAAACTCAGAACCAAACAAGACCAAAACTCAAAGAAAGCAACAGCCATAAATAAAGTATACATTGCATCAAAAGGCTTTGAGGGACGCTCAAGGGTGAGCCACGAGAAACTGACACCTCACATTAACTCATACAGATCCTGCAGTAATCGGCATAGTTATGCTCTATGTGCAGCCTGTTGTTCGTGATTTAGGGTGCCCTATTTCAACCTAACTAGAGATTCTATAAAGATCTCCATAGAAATGATCTCTTTAGGCTTTTATGAGGCCAGTTTTATTAGTCTCTTTAGTGAAATCCTTTTTGGTCCACACAGAAACTGTGAGCACCAGAAAACAGATAAAACAAAATGGAGGGTATTAAACATTTGTATGCCATTCAAGTACTTGCCATTGGGCTTGAAAAACAATTTAACTTAGTTTGAAATGAGCAACAGTTTGTGTTGAACAGTGGCTGCTCAGACAGGTGCTGTTTAACCCTGCCGACCTACACGGGCCGATAAATACTTACAGCTGCTGCATCATAGAAGAGAAAAAATACATTTAGGGGTTTTCCACCAAAGAGGTTCCAGGGCTAGACCAGAGCTGGAGTTCGGTGTGGTTTCAAGATGGTTCAATGCAGCGGCTGGTTTCTGACAGCCACAGAGGCCGTGAACATTTTCATTTGTTATCTGTCTTTTTGAACCCCCTTCCACTGCTAATGAGAGTGTTTTATTCATTTGTTTATTGCTGTGGTCTAGTAGATAGTTTTCACTAGTGGAAACAGAAAGAACTGATATTAATGTAGTTCTGGTAAAATCCTGGATCTACCCATTTTCTCTGTGGGGTTAGGGTTAGGCAAGCAGGGCCTTGTGCATCACCTTATCTCTACTGTTCAATTTATTTAGTGCTTTTCAAAAGACAGAAGTTCTTCAAGGATAATCTGTTGTTCATTCACACTTTGGTGCTAGTGAGCTGCTCTTTGTAGCCATGCCTGTCTTTGGGCTACTGACAGAGGCGAGGTCTCAGGCCATCACCTTCGTAGGCAAGACTGGTGAAGTATCCTGGCCAAGGACACAGCAGCAGAGCAACTGAACCCACTCTAATGCCACCACCACTGCTCACTTTAACTGCTTATATCTGAGATCTAGGTCTTTGGGTCTCATAAACATCGGTGAGTGCTGGAGCATAGATGGTGGCAGGGGGGTTATGACAGATCATTTGCTGCTGTGGCCCCCAGACTCTGGAACTCTCTCCCCCGAGCCTGAGATCAGTGGACTCAGTGGACTCCTTCAAAAAGCAGCTGAAGACTCACTTGTTCAAGTTGGCTTTTGTATGACCTTCTTCACCACTCTCTCTTTATTCTGCTCTCCCCACCTATTCCACCTTCCTCAGGATCCACTGATTTCTCTCTTTCCTGTTCACTCTCTCTCTTTCCTATTCACACTCTCTCTCTTTCTTAACATTTTTCTTTTAAATCACAATTGCCTATTTTTGCTCATTTTAAATATATTTTTAAACATTTTGTAAATGCTTTTTTATATTTTTACTTTTTGTTTTGTTTTTGTGAAGCACATCGTGATTTTTATCTTGAGAGGCGCTATAAAATGATATTTTCTTCTATCTTCTTCTTAAAGGCTCGCCCTGTAACAGGAGGGGTGTAGGTTCCCACCCCACTCAGTCTGTTGCAGTTGTTGTGTCCTTGGGCAAGACACTTCACTGGTGGCGATCGGAGTGGTGATGCCTGTGTACGGCAGCCTCGTCTCTGTCAATGAACTCCATAGAAAATGTAGCTCATTACTAGCTGTAGCAGTGTGTGAAATTAAGTGTGTGGGGTGAACTGATTTTGTTGTAAAGCGCCTGAGTGTGTGTGTGTGTGTGTGTGTGTGTGGGGGGGGGGGGGGGGGTGTATAACTCTAGAAGGCCGTATATGAATACAGGCCATTTCACCATAGATGGACCTGTTAATTAAGAGCTTTGGAGATTCTTCTCCCCCACGCCAGACCGCAATCACTAAAGACGATTCCCCGATCTGTTGGTCCATCTCCATCTGAGGCACTTTAACTCCTTCACTCAAGGTGCATTCTGGCTCTCATTTAACCTTCTTCCAGGCAAGATTCTCCTATTTGGAGGAACGTGACTCATCTTGACTGCTTTACACTTCGCTGGAACTGGTTTGGTGGAAAAATGCCAATTTTGTTTTTGGAATGAAAGAGATCCAAAGTATGTTTGTTATTTGAGCTCTGCTCTACAGTTGGAAATGGTAAATGCTTTCTAGAAACTTGTCCCTTCTGAGGGCATTTTTGCTTTCCTCTAGAATTAGTCGGCTCCCCTATTTGCCCTAACCTCTTGCCTTTTGACCCTACAGTTACCACAGTGGCACAAAGTCACTGGGCAGTTCTTTGACACCTGAATGTTTGCTGACTGGTTCAAGAGTCTTGGTTTCAGCAGTCTTCTACTTTTTTGACCAACAAACACCATTTGTTGCATTTATTTATGTCTAATTCATTTTTTATTGGCTAGTTCTGTAGTTAGTCTGAACCATTCAGATGCCTGTTGAAGCTGCTTTTCCTCTTGCCAAAGTGGCTTGTTTGGTTTATCTCTCTATACATTGCCAAGGCTCACAAACAGGGCACTATAAAAAGATGCAAACCCTTTGGAACAAAAGATGAAGAAAAAAACACAACGAAAATGAAGGAAACAAACTAAAGATTAAAAAAGAAGAAAAAAAAACAATTCTTAAGGCATTGCAAAAGACTTCAGAGTTAGAGCAAACATCAGAATGAAACATTCACAAAGTAAAGCCACAGATAAGATATAGTTAACCAGAAAAAGGATTAGTAGTAAGTAGAAAAAACAGCTCGGAAAATCATAAAAGCCTCAATAATAAAGACAAAAAGGGAAAAAAAAGGAGTTTGAAAAGGAAGAAAGCATACCATCAGTTTTGTCAACTTACATCAACAAATTGCCCGCATGATTTTGGCAGGAAGAAAACAAAAATTTACAAAAGAAAGTTGTGTAAGAATGCCTTTGGACAGGTTAGATTCTATTGAGAAGTTATATATGTTCTCCTTTTTAGACGGGATGGTAGGCAGGAGGCAACAACACAAACATCCACACATCATGACATGAAACAATCTTCACCATTCTGTTCAGGAGATCTTCTGATTTTTTTTTTTCAGAGTCGTCTTTTATATTTATATATATTCATAAAATAAAATATGTACATCTAGAATTTCTACTTCAGTTAGTAATCATCCACGGAGCTCTAAAGCCTGATCGGGTCTTTGAATTTTCTTTTGCTCGACATTAACTTGTTCATCTGTAATGAACAAACAACAGGCGACTGTACAGTTCTTCGAGTGTCTACGTAAAAGGGGAGGGAGGGAGGTGTGAGACGGGAGCGGGACCTATGAACACACTAGGAAGGAAATGACATAGATGGGGGTGAACGTGTACATCAGTTGCCATGTCCATGTAAAGGCGGCACGAAGCGGTCGGGCGGCATTAGAGCTTTTGGCTGTAAGGAAGGGATGGGGACATACAAACAATGAGCATTTACATGCCCATCTACAGAAGAGAACAGCACTCTCAACACTGACAGTTTTTACAAACCCTAAGCTGCAACTTCTTTTGCCATGCACAGAAATCCACTGATTTGACCCAAATTTCAGCCAGATAGCTAATTATTAACAGTCGAAGAGTAAACACCAGTAAAACTATTTTTTTTAAAGTGGTCTTCTTTGGAGGACACCTTTCTTTTTTCTCCATGAAAGCATCGATCTCAGTGCGGGTGCATGAATTTGTATTGAAACACTGAATGAATCATAGAGAAAAGAGGAAGATTGGATCTAATCAGGGGAGAGAATTCATCTAGACACTGGCATTAGTGATCCTCAACAATTTAGCAGAATTATTTTTTTTAAATTGGACATTTTTCATGAAAAAAAGACACGTTTACATATATGTGTGTTGACATATATGTAGAAAAAAAGACAAAACGGTTAACAAGCAAGAAATAAAGAAAAGGCATTAAAATCTCACACTATCAGAGATGAACAACCAGAAAGCACACACTGAGGCAGACGAAAAGGGGGGGAGGGGACAGTTTATAGGCAAAGTGTCACCACCTTTGTGTAACTAATAAAAACTTGTTTATTATTAGTTACATCAATACATTTCTCTTGTTAGTATCTTTAAACACGAGACAGGGCGTGCAATCTGGATGTACGTCTGAGAAAGGGAGGGAAAAAAAACAAGATGTTTTTCTTTTTTCTTTCTTTGAATTTGAGTTCCGCTGTAAGAAGTTGGGTTAATGCATGCTTAAGTAAGTTGCATTTAGGGAAAGTAAGGTACAACAACAATACAGCAAGCTGGGTGGGGGGTGGTGTTGGGGGACACAGGTGAGTTAGGGAGAAAAGGGGAGGAGCTTAATAACAGGGCTCCACCACCAATGGCTGTGGGGTATTTCCTTAAGCAAACCATTCATTGGCAGTGAACAGGTGCATCGTGGGTGATGTATTGCCAACATTAAGTGGCGTTTAGGCCCACCACAGCCACGGATTAATCAAGAGGCAAAGCGCTCTGGTAATTAACGAGCTTCCTTTTGGTGAAACTTTGGGATGCTTTGTGCGACGCGCATAACCAACAGCCTTTGTTTGACAGGTTAACATCTGGAGTTCCACAAGAGGGCGCAGGTTGGTGGGTGTTTCTAACTCTGGGGAGCGCGCATTGGTGTTCTTCAGGTTTGGGTTCGTCCTCTCCAGGCTGAGCATTTACCTGCTAAATAAACAGCAGCAGGCCAGAGTGGCTGATTCCCTCTCAGGCTTTATCTATCCAACT